AGTTTTGACTCTACTGTTCCGTAGGTATCTACAATAGCAGGGCGAAATTGGATGCAATGCATCACTCTCCATGCTGGTAAGAACTACGTCTCTCGTAAGCTGAATTAAATTTAGTATTTTCTGTTTGCATTTGGACACAGGTTTTTCCGATGTGTCAACCAAATGTTTGAGGGCCCAAGAGCTGATATACGAAGTTTCCTTCGATAGAAGACCCCCATGGACGTCCATGAAGCAGAGCTGATAGGACACAAGCATCAACGCATTTCTGCATCGGGTCGAGACTACCAGTGGTGGATCGAAAGAGTTGAATCGAGGAGGATCGAATGAATACCTCCTTTCGTATCTGGTTATAAATGAGATGTAAATTCAAGCTTGTCGTCAACTCTGACGGAAATATATATTGCTTTTTGGACTGGATTGACCTCGATGTCATTTATTGCCAACGTTGCGGTACGGTACAGAGTTGAACATTTCGTTTAACGAGCTCTTGACAGTCATTCACACAAATTTGTCGCATCGGACTCGTTCGCGATGTAATGGAACTTGGGGATTTATGCGTACTGGTGCTCAAACGCAAATATGATTGAATCTCAAATGGATCTTGGAGGACGAGGCAAGAAGACGATGCACTCTGAGGGAGTTCCATGTACATTTTCAGTTCGTGATTTATTCTCAGTTATAGCTCATTAGCTTGCTTTTTACGAAATAAATGTTTGTGATATTTCACATTTCTGTTGGAAATGTACTGTATCACTCTATGCACAACTCAAGTGTTGTGGCAATAGCTACAGGGATGGCGGGGATGTACAGGCTAAAAGTCAGAGGTCTTTTTTGTCATGCCCTGTATATCCTGGATTGATATCGAGACCGATGTCAGGTTCTCATGGTCTCACTTCAGGGACTTTTCAGCGATAAAAAATGATGAATAAAGCCCTGTGGGATCTGAAACCTGCAGCAGTCAGATCACAGCATTGGAACGGAAAGGAACGTTGAAGGTGAAGCTATTCTCGTACACCATGAATCTATCAGCTGTGATTCTGCTCCTTTTCGGCTTGGGCAAGAACTGGGCTCAAAACTACCAGAGCATTACTGTCTTCGAAGATTCCAATTACGACGGAGAACAGAGTGATATATTCCAGAATTGCCCTAACATCTGGTCATGTGCCCCCAATGTCGGAGATAACGCGATCTCCAGTGCATGCGTCACCGGCATGTGAGTACCCCTCGCCTTTTAAGATAACCAGGATTCTCGATTCACTCAAAGACCTCACCTTGCATGACCTATAAGAGAGATTTGATTGATTGTGGCCGATGAATTGCACGGTCACGAAAAGAGTGCGGCAAGACCTCAATTAATCCAGTCGAGAAAGTTTGTGGAAATTTTTTTTCATTTCTCCTCCACAACTTTAACTCAGTTTCAGGGCACTTATCTCCAAGCGAACGTTTTTGGGCAAATGTTCTTCCAATGAGCCAAGACAGCATATAATGACCCTGTAGGGGACCAACGTGATGTCCTCTCGGTCCCACTGAGCATATTCCATCATCATTTCTCATTGCTCTTTCCTTACAGTTGGATACTCTACAGTGAACCTTCTTACAACTTTGAAGGATTCGGAGCAGTGGAATGGGGGTTTGGGTTAGGTTATTGTTGGAACCTGGGGCCCGCCGATAACGTAGTGTCATCCCTCAGGTGAGTTCACATCATCCACTATATATTGATATATCGTTGATGCACGTTTTCCCCGTTGCAGGTTAGTAGGATATAGCACCAACTACATGGCAAACACAATCACACTTTATAATCATATTATGTTCATGGGGGAACAATATTTCGGCACCACAGACAGTCCCAATGTGCAGATGAACGACATAAACTCCATCATCATCACGGGTGCAAGTGACTGGACCGTCTATACGTGAGTCCCCGTTTCTCTCAATTGCTTTTGCATATCCAGTGTCGAATCACCTTGGAAATGCGTGTCTGCCAGGCTCCCGGACTTCCTGGGGCCAAGTGCATGCTTCAGTGTCCAGGCTGGAACGTTCGTGGGCTTATACTTGGACCTCTCCGAACTCGAGATCAACTCGGTCAGGTCCTTCCGAGAAGGATGCTTCAGCGACGCAAAGATTCAGCCCCGCCCGCAGAGACAAGGTGTGGTCGTCTTGGACAGTGAATAGTGTGGCCTCACACGATTCTCCTGCATAAATAAATTCATTGAGTCTTGCCTGAGAGCATTTAATTCGGCGAAATCGTCGTCTAAATATCACCAGCAACACATTCCCCGGTAGCATGTTCATGCTGCGCCTATGTTGCAATTCCACAACTGCGAATTGGTCCCTCGTAGCCCCAATAGCACCCAAATATTCGATCAATATTGCCTGCCAAGGAATATTCATATTGAACCATTATTGGGATTACTACCGGGCCCCAAATAGGGCCGATATTGGCGCTGCTATTTGTCCCTGGAGGTTTCCCTCTGGAGTGGGCATTTCTAATTGTGGCAATAGAACTGCCTATGCAAGTCTGACTGATCTTCCCTGACTTTACTCAGCTTAATACTTCAAGGGAATAACCCACCCTTTCATGCACATCTGCGAGATCAGTTCCTCATCTCCTTCCCCTAAGGGCATAATATTCTGCCCTCAGATGGAGGAAGTGGTGGACAGGGCTTGCACACAACAACAGCATGTACTGTAGTTATTTGAAAACTAATTTTCAAAGGTTTTACCTTTCTTCAAACCTCAACCTCAACCTCCCCCCCCCCCCCCACCCTCCTCTACGTATCCCACTAACGTTAGGCCTAGGTCTACCCGTGTGGCACAGCAACGTTGAATAGACGTTGAATGTACGTATATATATCGACCTGGAAACGTTGAGTAAACGTTGAGAGTATACGTAGACTCGATGTGGAAATGGGAATATCTACATAGAATAAACGTAGGTTTGGAAACGTTGTGTTAATGTCGAGAGAATGCGTGGGCTCCACATGGAAATTGGAATATGTTCTAAGTGGATTAAACGTAGATTTGTATACGTTTTTTGCCTGTGGCTTTTGCAATGACTCCTTCCCTCGTAGAGATTCACAGGTAATACAATCCAATCAAAAAATTCTCAAACACAAAAGATTTATTCCTTTAGCCATTTTAGACAATAACTCCTCATATTAATATTTCCAGAATGTCAAACTGAACCACAACAAAAGAAACCACATTATCCTCTTAGAGCAGGATTCATCAGAGGATCACTCATGTAGTTCCAGTTCCTCACACTCATATTCTCTAAACATCAGTCACTATGAACTATAAAACTAAGAAAACAGTGTTAGTGAAAATGACATTCTGAAATCCAGAGATTAATATCCATAATGAGGGAATATTGAATGTGATATGCACAATATAGGTAAAGTGTACAGCTGTTACACTTCTATTATGTGTATATTGAGGATTTTTACTCTGCCAAGGAATCCAGTGAGCCTTTCTAAATTACTTAAATGGAGAGCTGCAAGGATTCACTTTTAACTTCAGTTTGCCCATTCAGTTCTTCAGATTATAATATTTGCACCTCAATATCAAGAGGAAAAACTAATATAATCTAATGCTAAATGGGTGAGACAATAGTTCCTATATACTGGACTATCCATAAGCAAGTGCTGGTTCCTTTCTCTTGAAAAATTGCATTTAAAATATGACGGACAAATCACGCAGAAATTCAAATATGCTGTGATGCTGGCAGGGCTGGGTAACGAAACAGAAACGAAATGAGAAACGAAACAGAAATGGAATTCTATGCTGTAACGAAACAGAACCAGAAACAGAATCAAAAGAAACGGAAACAAAATAGAAACGAAATGGAAACGAAACCTTGATGATATTAACGATATGCGATTGTGCTTTTCTTCCTGAAGTTTTCTTCCCCCTCCAACCAACTGAACGTCAACTCCAGACCAGTGAATGAGTTCGAATTTAATTGAAGCAACAATTGAGTCACTGACTAGCCATTTCCCTGGTCAATATTTCATAGGTTACTATTAACACACCTTCGCAAACAGATGTTACCAACATTAACAGGGAAGTTTAAATTGCTTCTCAAAATACAGTGGAAGGGTTCACCCTGACTGTCATGTTTACTTCGCCATCTGCGGACTGGTGGAAAGAAAAACAAATTTTCATTGAGCAGTAGACGCAAGAAAAGTGCCATAGTGAAGAAGTGTAACGGGCACGAGGCGCAGTCGGTAGGATTGCTGATCATATCAACTATTAATTAAGTTCAAATAGAAACTTTACCTTAACGCGCCCCGATTCCACTACAATGAATCCCCTTCCAGGAAATCAGGT